AGGGATGAGGTATGCTAACTTTCGCGCTATCTGGTTATTCTTGCCTTTGAAGGATTCTAACTTAAGCTTCGGAGCCCTTACGCCGGGTTCTCCCCGGACCTTCTCTTCTCCTCCTGTTTTAGGTCCCTGTTACTCATTTCAGAGGCACGATCATCAACAGCTAAGACCGACCAGATTGTGCATCATCAATGCTCATCATGGAATCCGAAGAAAATATGCTTGGGCTGGTACAATAATTCTCTGGGTTTGAATTCTTCTCATGATCGAAACTGTTAATTGCTCTGCTGATTCTGATTGACCCCTCTAGAGGTGGTGGTGGTGGGAGAGTTGATGCATGAGAGGTCTGATTGAGTGGTGTAGAAGAGTCGACGAATTTTGAGTCTTCATGGCTGAAGAAGATTCTTCCACCTTCTGAAGCAATCTGGGCATCCCTAAACGTCATGCTGTTAGCATCAATCTTGAGATGCCTTGCTTGTTTCTGCACCCTTGTTCTCCATTAATTCTTGATTTCATTGTCTGTTCTTCCCGGTAGATGTTGTGCAACCTTAGACCACCTGGAATCACCAAACAAAGAGAACTTAAGGAAGACGGATATAACACAGAGAAATACATTCATGAATCTAAATATGGTGCTAAACATCCACACACACAAATACATTCATGCCATATGGCTGCAACAGATGAGAAATACACCAGAAGAGGAGGGGGGAAGATATATGGAAGTTTTTTTTTTTTTCTTTTTTTACTTTGACAGTCCACTGGATGGTACGAGTTCAGCAGGCCAGTGTCCAACTTGTTCATCACAGCACCGCCTTCACATTCTTGTGACTCAAAAAAAGAGTGGTATCTGGAACTTGCTTGGCAATTATCTGCCATATCAATTTTCAGCAAACTTGCAATGAAACATAGGATTTTGATAGTGAACATATTAAGTAAATTATGATCAAGCATACTTGTATCATCCATTAAATGATATAAGAATGTTGAAATACAAATAGAGAGAGAAGAGATAATACCAGATTCAGCATCTTCATATTCTGATGCCTGGGTGCATTTCAGGCGTATGGTATCCATTGTTTGTGATGGCATTTGAGTAGGATTTGTGAAATAACTGGAAGAAACAGGACTGCCCTTTTGATAAGGCACAGACCTACACGGGGTTGGGCCGATCCCAAATTCGTTACGTAGACCCGGCATGGTACATTATTAATGAAAAAATGAATGAGAATGAAATTCGTAACGAAACAGGTTACAAATATATTACCCTCATTCTTGCCGTAAAAAAAATCATTTTTTAAGAAAAAAACGTTTGGTTCGTGACAATATTTTCTCATTTTTTTTCCATCTTGAAATTTCATAATGAGAATTTTCCACTTCTGCCCCACAACCCAAAGAAAGACAACCTTATTGCATACAAATGAAGATGTTAATGCTTAAAACCACTTCTTCGCATATGATACTCACCTGGTGAGATTGCAGTGACAAAGATTGTGATGGAGAGGATGAAGATGATGAGGGATGCCCCCCTAATATAAGCCTCTTCACTACATGTTGCCCTATAAAGGCAGCAATGGTTGCCACAACAACAAAGTAGAGGGCTGTCCAAAAGGATCCAAAAATAGAATATAATTAGTAAACTAAATACTTCATCGTATGTACACCCAAATACGTATTTTTCTCTCTTTATTCTTAGGGACAAGAACTGTTCTCGACCTTCAAAAAGGAGCAGAACAGAATCAAGAATAATAATAATAATAGAGACTACATACAGTGGTTTTACTTACCATATTGAGAGAAACGCTTCAGAAGGTAATATTCTACAATAAACATAGATGGTGAAGCCGTGAAAAAACAATAAAATAGTCTACTAACAAGAAAGACATGAAAAAAAAAACCCATGCTAACCCCCAACCAAGTACAGGCGAAACGAAACTACAAAGAAGCAGAGAGAAGATGGAACTGGAATCAGTTGTTAACGGGTGATCTAGTAGGGGTAACAGAGAGACAAAGGTGGTGAAGCCGTGACAGGTAATGGAGTCGGTTTTAGAAAAAAAAACACGAAGGAGAAGCAGAGGCGGATGAAAATGTAAAGAAACCCCATGCCTAAAGAGAATCAGAGAGAGAAGATGAAATTGGAATCCGTTAGTTTACAGGTGATCTGGTATGTTAATAGAGAGACAGAGACAAAGGTGGGACGTGACGGATATTGGAGTCGATTTGAGAAAAAACATGGAGGAGAAGGGGAGGCATGTGACAATGTAGAGAAACCCCATGCAGTCAGCATGTCCGCTCTCTCTCTCTGCGAACTGCAATCCAAACTCAAGAGTCACTTTGCCTCCATTTTATTCCGCTGCTGCTGCTTTGTCTACGACGAAATCAAAATGCAAGCAGAACTCACTCGGCTTGGGAACCACCAACTCGCTGTCTCTTTCCCACTCGACGGAGACAGAGTAAACAGTTCCGTCACTGTGAGGCGTGTTGAGGAGCAATTCCGATTTCCCCATGCAAACGGTTTCGTCGACCATGCAAAGAGGCCAAACTTAGAAGCCCCATTGACAATGCCACCGAAGGCCAACAAAACCATAACAGAAAAGAGGAAAACCCATAAACAAAATAAATAACTGAGAAGTAGAGACGGATGAGGGGGGAAAGAGGTCAAGAGAGAGGGAGGAGGGGGAAAAGAGCGAGGAAGTGAAAGAGACACAAAAGGTAGGAAGAGAGAGGCAAAATGGTTAGCATTTAGGGTTAAGATTTTAAAGCTACAGTTTGGAAGAGGTGTAAAATACAGTACACTGATTATGTTTTACACTGAACGTTAAATATATATATATATATATATATGATTGTGTAAAAAATTGTTTAAGTTTTATAAATTATATGGAAAATTTTAAATGTGATGAGATTTTATATTTATCATCGATATAAAAACCTATACTTCATCCAAACGCATGAAACATAATTTTACATCAATAATGATCAACAAACACAAATCGATGACATACAAATACAGCCTACCATAAACTTATCTATGACTGATTAGACTTTCATTGAAGCTCTCATTGTTTTAAAGGCATTACAACTTATTGAATCGAATCAGGTTAATCATGTCAACTGACTAATTAAAATTTGTTGGTGGATGGCTCTTCTCTCATAAAAATTCTCGCATTCCTAAAGCAAATAACAGAGTTGTTGTACATTGATTTGCAAAGTTTACCTACAACATAGAAACCATTCGGGACTCGGACCGGCCCACATTACACCTGCATCAACGGTCAACTCGTTCAAACCCCAAACATGCGTCTAACGTGGCCCTCGCTTCGTCCAATTGTCTCTTTCTTGAGAGCCCACGTAACGATCCAAACCTTGAGAATCAATCTTAAGGTTAAGATGAAAATAACGAAAACAATAGTGGTACATAATTAAATGGAAAGTTCGAGAATTGAAGAAGACAAAGCAGCATCTGGCATTCTGCTGCCTCTAAAATTCCATTCTCCAAGGAAGCAACGAGGCAATTCAATTGAAAAGATCGAAAAAGCCCATAATTTGCATAATTTATTTAATACTAAAGCAGGGTGTTTATAGTCTTTTCATTGGCGACACAAAGTTTCTTCCGAAAAAATAATAGCGTATAAAGTAAGGCAAACATTGGGCTTGACTCAGACGCGACATCAATCAGAAGATAAGCATCAGGAGATTAAGACACGTGTCTTCAATCGGTTCACACAACAAAAAGTAGATAAAGACAGTTGCACAACTGTACACGATTCCTTCTCACCGCCTTAGCCCTCAGGCTCAGATAGCGAAACAGCCTCACGTATGTTGGCGCACATGGACCGTCGATCTTTTACAGCTCACACATCATCATATCCGTCGATTCTATCTAGGGTTCAATAAATAAGGGTGCCCTCTCTCCTTTCTTATCATCCCCCGCCCCCCCCCACCCATCTTGGGTTCTTGCAGATTTCTGCTTTCGTTTCTTCAATTTTTCTTAGATCTACTTCTTCCTTTCCCTCTCTTTCAATTTTTCTCTTCAAATTCTCTTAGATCTGGGCTTGATCTACGTATCGATACTGCTTTTCACCAGTTTTTGCGATTATCTGGTTAGCTAAAATTGTTGATTTGCGAGTCTCCGTTTAATTTCTCCTCCTTGGGTTTTGAGTCTATTCTGCTTGGCGAGATCATTATTTTCGTGCTTTTTGGTCGGTGCTTTCCTGATTTCTTACACCGGATCTGTGTCTCATGCCACTTTAACAACGAATCTCATGACATCGTTGCAAGAATTTCTTTCTTCTTCTTCTTCTCCTTCTTCTCTGTTTTGTTCTTCACTTGGCCTCTGGAGTTCGCGTGCAATATCATATTCGCCGTCGTTCGCCTCGTGGGAGAGATACCCTCTGCGGATCTGGGAAATTGGTTGATTTATTCGAGCCATCGATCGCGATCTGGTGATATTCTTTATTAAATCCATTTTTTGTTTTTTGTTTTTTGTTTTTTTTTCTTGCAGGGTTTTTCTCCGTCTCTATATATGTTGTCGAGCGATGTTATCTCCCTTGAAACGCAGCATGGCTGTAGATCCGGTCGTTACGGTGATAGCGTGGTGGTTGTACAGATCTATTGGCGTTGGAGAAGATTGGCCTTTATTCTAAAAGATCATGAAGGAAAATATGAAGAACATGTCGATCTATCGAGTCTCCTTGTAAATCAAGGTAGATGTGGTCTGATCTGATATATGTTCTGATCTTAAATGGTGGGAGGTTCGATAAGGTGTTGCTGGTTCTCTGTAAAAGATGTAAGAAGGAAAGTGCCCTGTTGTCATCGGACCTTTGCCATGTCAGGTGCGCTTGCATGGCAGGTCAAAAAACCCTAATAAAATTCCATCTTTTTTGGTGTTTTGGGGGGATCGCACGGGGTTTTTGCCCGGGGTCTCTCCAGTTGTGTGCCGTCTCCTGCTCTATTTTTTCGATTGTTGAATTACTTACAGAATCGGCCAATCGCACATCTCAACGACGTTTCACTATCATCAAGAGATCACAGAAGAACTGATACGTCATCCTCGACTCAAGGTAAATGACAGTTCTTAATTTCAAGTTTTTCTATTCATAATTTTTAAGAAAATTACTATAGATATCCATCAAGCTTGTTTTCAAGGCCCCATCATATATGATGAACAAGAAGATGTATCCTACCGATATATTTTCATGTTTTGTCTCCAGTCCTAGCACTTGGTTTCCGCGTTATGAATTGAAGATTATAAATTCTTCAGATACAAGAACATGTATGAATTATCAATCATGTCCCAATCACTGCACATAGTCATTGCATATTAATACGCGGTATTGCACTTCTTGCTCATGCCAAATTTCCGTCCAAAAGCCATCATCATCTTCTCACAGTTTATGATAATCTTAACCAACTTGAATTCTCTATATATTGTAGTTGTGTAAATCTTTGTTGTTTTACGTTGTCAAGTCCATTTTTTGTACCATTGATGTAAGAATCAGTTGTGAAGGGCGTCCCCATGTGGAGACCCTAGTTTCGTTGTGCATCAGAATTTTGGAATGTGGTTGTAGTATTGCGTCAATGCAAAAGAACTGGTTCTATATGTTTCAGCCTTCCTCGTCACGGCGGTTGTCAGAATTGGAGATTGGTGGCTCTGCTGTTGCTCTTACGATTCATTTATTGGATTTGTATCTTTGGTCCACTGAACGCATACTCTGGTTTTTAACTGAAGTCACTCCCCTAAATTGCTGATCGGATGGCGCGTATTACGGGCGGACTAGTTACGGTAGTTAGTCGAGCCCGTCTCTGCTGCTCATGCTCCTGCTACAGCTCTTTCTGATGATGTGTAGTATTGCAGCTGTACATGGCGGCGACGTAGACGTTGTGTCATCGTTGCAAGAATGCTTTCTGCATGCTACTTTGTAGGTAAACCAAGGTGAATTCAAGCCGATAGCCAAACAGCATTAAACTCGGAAATAAATAGGCGTTCTAACGGTTATGGTAATTTCTATTATTCGTCTATTTCAGTTAAAATATAGAAGAGGGTTCAAAGTTGGTATTTAAATTATTCATTTGATAGATGGATTTTACATTGTGGTTTTCTTGTTTGTAATATCATTTTATATTGCACAATTCTGTTATCCATGTTTCATGTATAGTTGTTTCCTTCTTCTTGCCTTTTTAGTTAAATGTTTTGGGAGTATACCAACTCTTATGTATCTATCATCTATGGTGTCTATCCGCCGTCGCCAATATCAGCCATTCGAATTGTTCACGTTGACTTTTTTTCCATAAGTGGAATTATAAATAGTGTAAAACCAGAATCATAACGAACATCCATCGGGGAGGAGTATACAAAACCTTGTTTGTTTACTGCAGTTGTACTGTAGATGCGTCTATTGGCAAGGTTTACCAAATAGTTCTCATTTTAGCCCCCCTTTTCTATCATTGCTATTGCCTTTGATGGATGGTATTTGGCTTAAATTTGGTGCTAATTTTATGCTTTTGTTTGCACATTAAAGATTAACTGTCGGGTATAATTGCTTTTCGAGACCCCCTTTTGATATTTCCTTCTAGTCTTATTTTTCAGTACTTGCGCCTCGACATAAAATGCGACCCCGTTGCGCAGACCTGGCACTTCGGTTGGGTGGGTCGGGTTTGGGTTGGGTCAAGACTCTTCCGGTTGATTTCGGGCCTGGTTATCAAATTCTAGACCCTAACCCTAAACCCTAAATGTTCAGGTTAGGGTTGCGGGTCATCCCAAAAAATAATTGAAAATTACTAAATTAGATCTTAAAATTTCAAATATAAAATAGAAAATACTTGAAACAACAAGCATTTAAGACAAAATAGAAATACTTACCCATGACCCAACCCATTTTTTCTCGTTCGGGTCTGGTCGTTCTCACATTCAGCTAGTTAAAGAGACCCTAACCTTGTTTTTTCGGGGCTGAGTCAACGTTTTGCCAGGTCTACCTTTTGTTACTTGTATTGTTCCCTTGTAGTCGGGATGGTTCTTTTGGCGGCAATGCTGGTCTTCCAATGTCTTTTAACAACTTTTACCCTGTGGGAATTATGGTTCTACAAACCAACACCAATTCATACCGGTTTATCTTCCAACAATTAGATCATAAAGCCTCTAGGTGAACAGTAGATTCGACCGATCTGTTAACTTTTCAAATATGAAATTCAATCGTTTTCTTTCATTCTATGCTGTTTGAGGCCTGGCTATCAATTCCGTGGTTTCTGTTTGGTTGTGGGATTGGGCATCGATCTAATTACCCTTACCTCGACAACCAAAAATATGTAGATGTAGCTTTTCAAGTGCTCTACTGTGTTATTTATGTAATATTTTTATTATTAATTTATCACCTATATATTAGATTCATTGATCGCGTAACGGTCGGTTACTTATTTATCTCTCATCGTCGCCGTTACCTTCTAGTTGGAATTTAACCTTAAAATATGATGATCCTTAAGCTCAAAATTGGTAGAGCGCTCACATTATGTGGGAGGATGGTGGTTCGAATCCACTGGGATCATAGCTTATTCTGGGAGTTTTTCTCTTTCGATATTTTTGTATGTCTGTAGTAATGGTTCCCTACTTACAAGTTTCAACTGTCTATATGAAGTAATTTGTTGGTCGTTTTTTTCGATACTTTAGTTTCGTTTATGTTTTCAATCCACCCTACACTTTTTTTTTAAAACCTATTTTTCTTAAACGGTCTATCCTTGAGAATTGTTCGTTTGCATTGAATGTATGAAATTGAAATAAATTTTGAGAGGATTGTAGTTTACCTAGTTTTGGATGCTGTTTTCGAAATTCGTATTCTGAAAAATGTCAGTTGACCGTTTTAACTTTGGATATAATAAGGTTTGTTTAAATATATAATCAATTTATTGATAACTAATAAAATGATTATGAAATCATTTATAGAGATGAGTAATTATAGTAATTAATTATTAAATATTAAAAAACTACATAATTATATTTTATGGAATTCAGTGAATATTAAAATATTTAAAACAGTTGATTATAATTATTTAATTGAAATGGATTTAATAATAGGAAAATCTATGATGTAGAAAAGACATATGGGAGGATTTTTGAGCAATGGAAGCCCACCCATGAATAATTTAATTAAATTAGTGTTTTCAGCATATTGTTTAACAAGCCAAACTTATTTGGTCGGGTTTGGGTGTTGGTTATTCCAAACTAACCTTTCATACTAAAAATTGACAAAATCAAGTTACACTGGTCAATGTTTTAAATTAACCCACTTTTGCATTTGGGTGCGGTTGTTATTTCAACCATCATTGGTAAATCAGTTAGTCCCATTCCATGTCATATAGTTAAATAAAGAAATCTATATATATAGATATATATATATATATATATATATATATATATATATATTTAAGTATAAATACATATTTTATAATAAATAATGTATAATTATATTTTATATAAATATATATTATTTTATATTTTGAATTTAATTTTAAATTTTTGTTTATAAAAATGTTAAAAATTACCTATAGACACACTAGGACGCATTGATTTTGAAGAGTTATTCAAAATAAAAAAAAAAAAAACCATTACTGACTTGGGGCGCATTGATCTTAAAGAGTTGTTCAAAATAGATAAAAAAAAATGATTATTTCAACCAGATATCAGAGTGCAAAGTTATGGTCTTCAAAATTTTGTATATGCAGTTTTTGGGTTGAATGGATATATATTAAATATGCAGTTTTTTGGTTGAATGGATATACATTAAATATGCAGTTTTGGGGTTGAATGGATATACATTAAATATGCAGTTTTGGGGTTGAATGGATATACAATAAATATGCAGTTTTTGGGTTGAATGGGTCAAGTTGAACTCTTTCAGGTTAGGTGGTTTTTTTGAGGTCAATGTTTTTTTTACTAAAGGGCTGGAATTAAGGCAGGTGATTGTTTGAATAGTTTAACGGTGATAGGTTGAAAATATTGGTATCTGGATGGGTCAATGATAGATTGAAAATATTGGTATTTGTTTGGGTTGGTTTTTAGTTTGGTTGGAGTTTCCTAGTTTTAAAATAAAAAGTAGAAGCAAATATAACAAACTTAAATTCGAATTCAATTCAATTATTAATTGGATGCAAATCTCAAAATTCGAATTTCAATCTGGTTATTAATTGAACGCAAGTAGCAAAATCATAATCTGAAAAGCATGGTTTTCAAAATCATAATCTGAAAAGCATGGTTTTCAAAATCAGAGCGGACTGGATGATTGGACTGGAAAAACTGGTGACCAGTTTTGTTTTTTTCCAAAACTGTTGATTTTGGTTAGCAAATTGCTGAACCAGTCGGTTAATTATTAAATTTTTTTATTTTTTTTTGTTAGAACAGGTTGATCATTTGGGTTGAACGGTCGAATTGTTCGAATCGATAACCAGACCCCTGACCGATTCGGTTTTAAAAACCATGGAAGAAAGATAGACTTCTTAATTACAGTTTCAACTCTCAAGCCTACAGATGTGAATGTTGGATGCAGAATTTGAGCCAAAGTTAAAGCTTTTATGTCCAATTATTGTGAAACCACATCTGGCTATACACTATACAGCTCCCAAGTGTCTCCAAAGTTTTTGGTATTGTTGACAAGATCTATACTAAACCATTTTCTTAAATTACTGCCTTAATGCAATTGTTGTTTTCTGTAAGGTTTCAAGTTTCATGACTACATTTGCAGTAATAATAGATATCCTGCCTTTGGTTTCTTTGCCAATTGTCTGCAATAGTCATTATACCTTTATCTTGAGAAGTTGGAGTTATTTGAGCTTCAGATGTGGTATTATATTATACGTTTTCTGCAAGCCCTTTCAATGAAATTATTCTGGGTTTTAGAAATTAAACCCTCTTTCAGTGAAGCGATTCAGAGTTTCAGAACTAAAAACCTCGAGATGGGTACTTTCAGAAATGGGTCTATTGTTAAGCGCAGTTCGGTGACCCAAATGAGCACCTTTTCTGACCTGAAGATACTCCCTGTCCTCTTCTCAATTTTCCTCCCCTTATGCTTTCACTTTCTTGGCTGACTAAATAATTAACACAGATGAGCACACCATACCATGCATTCCAGTCCAACACCCTTTTCTATCCAAATGCTTTGGGCGTGTTAACAGTTAGCACCCACTAAATGTTAATACTGTTGAACCCACCAACTTGTGCAGGCAACACTCAATTTATCAAATCTACAAATACCTCGTAGCTCCTGGGGCTGGAGCAAGTCATCAGTTTTCCAAGTAATAACATGAGAAAATTGCCTCTGAGACGTCTTTACTAAGACGTATTTCTCTAGCTGCGTATATTTTTGGAATGTATTGTCAGATTGGGTGAGTTCAATTGTTGGTTTGGTGATAGAACCATCACTGATGTAGGCATATTTGATCGGTTCATCGGATCTTGACACGTGGCATTGGTCAAGAGTATGACAGTTTCTTAAGGGCATTCAGGTAATTCCCACCCTTAGCGATTGTAGAGTATTTAATGCAGGTGCATGTCCTGGGTGCATCTGCTCCCGAGCCACTAACATGGGGTTATGGTCGGCCAACGCCTTTTTAAACCCTCTTACATGATCGTGATATATGGGACAGTTATACATTGTGCATTATTCTCCACATGGTCAACTCCTATTACAAAAGAGGCACAGCTAGAGGTATACACACATACTTGAGCTATCACTTACACTCTTGTGGTGACTTTTACTTCCTTTGAACTCTCGGTTAACTTGACCGTTAGAATTCTCACCCCTGAGAATACTAACGTTTTTTTATTCTTAGCAGGTGAGACCCACAGCGAACTGAAATTATCATCTTTTCTTTACCCTAGTTAAGCTCACTCTCTCTATTCTTCCTCTCTTGTTCTCAGCTATCTATCGACAACCATGACCTGACTTCACAAACACATTAGAGAGAAGACGGACTTCGGAGGAAAATCTAAGTGGTGTTCAAAAAACTAGGTGTGTTCACGGTCTAATTCAGTGCAGTTTGGAGAAGATTTTATACCGAACCAGTAAATTACGGTTTGAGAAATTTTTAAGTCGAACCAAACCATTTTGGTATGGAAATCAAACCATACCAAACCGTTTGGTGCAGTTTCTAATATGGTCTGGGAATCTTGGACCATTTTATGACTTTTTTAGGTTTAACCCAATTAGAAAGCCCAAATAACTCCCCTAAAAATTAAAACTTAAAACATTTATTTATTATTTTATTATAAAATAAAGAATTCACTATATATTTATAATTTTATACATTCCATTCAGATATATTATATATAATTTCAATTTACGATTTATGATTTAATTCAATTTATAAAATTCAATAAACTATCCTAAACCGAATATAAACCGAAACAAACTACAAATTCAATTTGATTTTTGCGGTTTGAACCATATATGAACACCCCTACAAATGGAGGTAGAAATGATAATTTACAAAAACCGCCAATCTGATATTGGCTATTAGGATTCGATCCAATAGGGGTGATTTGACTTCAATCCAATTTTGAAAAAAAATCCTATTATTTGTGATACGATCCGATTAAAAATCCTGGCAGGGGTATCTGAATCTGGTAAATCGTATCGGATTCGATTTCGGATTGGATCGTGACCCGTTCAGTTTGCATCATCCCTACTCTTAAGCAACTGGAAACAATCCTAGTCCAAACTCAGTCACAGGTGAGGATTTTTTGGCTTTTTTTTCTCATGAATATAATAAAGCTTTTAGAACCCTAGGCATTTGCAAATCTGGAAATTGTGGTGACGTTTTGACTATGGGTTTCACCCTCTTGACACTGTACAGAACAATGAATTGTCCTCTCATTCAAAAAAAGATGAATTGCTTTCTCTTAGCAAAACCAAGGTGCTACTCAAAAAAAAAAAAAAAAGGCAAAACCAAGGTGAATGCCACATATTATATAGAACAGAAATGTATTTACAGGGAATGCTGTTGATAAATAAACTCAAGAATAATTGAAGTGACTAATGAGTGAAAAGAATTTATTTTATAATTTAATGGCAATTTTTACAAACTACAAAATTATTTCACCTTTTCCTATACTGTTGTGTACTTCCCAAACGGACAACTCATCTTCACCTTGACCTCTCAACATCACCTCCCCCTGCAGCTTTGGATGGAAACGAGAACGGTGCTCTATCAGTGACAGTAGGGCCTGGTCGGGGAGGAAGGGGGGCTTCACGGGCTGCCCGGTGCTCCTACAGAATATGAAACAAACACATCTAAGTACCAGCCAATAATAACTCATGGATATTAACAATTTCAGAGTACACATGCTTGTTGAAAATTGACCCCAAGGAAGTTAATAGAGAATCAAACACTTGCAATCTTAAGATGAATAAAAAACATGGAATAGATGGAGTTAAAGAATGCAAGCATTAATCATGTTTTTAGAAATCCTCCACCAGTAATTTCTACCAGCAAGTACTTCGATGACATGCAGATGCAATATGGAACTTTGAATTTATCGTAAAATTCAAATGTTGTTTCCATGTGAGACATACAGCTGGGTTCTGTCAAGCAAAATAATGTTTGGGCCCAATTCAATCAATTTTCTAGCTCAAAAACAAACTATAGACATATTTGCCAAATGATAGTATGGGCTTCTTTTGGTAGCACTGCCTGGATATGTCCACAAGCAGGTTTGATTAATGTTTGGGCCCATTTCAATCAATTTTCTAGCTCAAAAACAAACCATAGATATATTGGCCATATGATAATATGGGCTTCTTTTGGTAGCACTGCCTGGATATGTTGAACCAAGTAGAAAGGATCAATGCGAAATGAAAGTTTCGGAGCCACTGATAACAACTCAAGTTGCTGAACTGAATGACCTATTGCTTTGTCATTTAGTGGATAAATTAATTAAATAATAAACTATCAAAAGGTATGGTTATCTACCCAACTACTTCATCAATCAAGGAGTTCACAACCACATTGAAAACTTCTTCACTAGGAGACAAAGCAATAAGCATTTTAGTTCAGCCACTTCATATGTTATCAAACAGTTTCCTTAGTACCCAATTAAGCCTACACAGTAGAGAACTTCATTCAAATTTACTAATACTATGTTAACCCTATTAGCTAGCTTTTGAAGAGCTCTTCAAGAATTTCCTTGTCAAATAAAGTTCCTAAACAAGTTCTCTCGTGTTGACCATTGATATAAGAGAAACAAATGCCAACATCTATAAAACCCTATGAAGAGTTTTATTTGCATCCAAGAACTACTAATAGGTGCCAAAAAAAGTCCAAATCTATTGGTCACACTCTGATGGTGCAACCACTCTTGATAGATAAACAATTATGAAGTCCCTAAGAGTATTTAGATTAGTAGTTGGAAATTATGAAATATTGTAAGATATAGCCATTAACAAAATCATTTGTAGCACATTTTGCACCTCTTGAAGCAACACAAAATTGTAGAAGAATAATTGGGATAATTGGGCTTACAGCACGGAAGGGAAACTCATCTGCTTCCAGCATGTGTACAACTTGCCCCATTTTTGGCCGCTTGTTAGCATCTAGATCAATGCAACGAAGACAAACCAACATTACCCTCTTCAATGCTCTTGGTGAGGGCTGAGCATCAATCAGAGGGTCTACCACTTCTTCTGCGCAATGACTTGCTACCTTCCCTTTAAACCACTCAACCAAGTTCACCTGCCAATGCAATTCGGATGCATGCAAATTTAGGTGACATATCTCATGAGCACAACAGATAAAAGAAAAAGGAATCTTCCAAAAAAAAAACAGATAAAAGAAAAAGGAAAAGGAAAAAGCTTTGATTACCTCTCCCGATGGTCTAGAATAATCAACTGGGCTCCTCCCTGAGATTATTTCCATAAGTAGTATACCAAAACTGTACACATCACTGCTCTCACTAAGCATACCCGTGCTTGCATACTCAGGAGATACATATCTGCATCAAAGAAGTGCCAATACATATTATTATTAGCACCCACCAAAATAACTAGTAATAAATAAAAGAATCATCTTGGATTCAAGAAAGAACAAACCCAAATGTCCCCATTACTCGTGTGGTTACATAGCTTGCTTCTGAACCTAAGAGCTTTGCCAGTCCAAAATCTGAGACTTTTGGGTTCCATTTCTTATCCAGAAGAATGTTACTGGATTTGATATCACGGTGCACAACTTTTGGTTCTAGTCCTTCGTGCAAATAAGCTAAACTGTAAGAAAACACATAAGAAAGATTAAAGAGTAGAAGAGGCCCCACTGGTGACAAAAGAATATATAAAAAATAAAAGAAACAGCCAACAGAACCAAACCTGATATCCTGCCCACTACTCTCCACCCGCCTTGAATTGCAGCCACACATCGCCATCTTGTATTGTGAGATATGCGGCTGCAATGTACTGTGGGCAGGCGCGGGTAGAGAAAGTGAGTAGAAAATCTGGTTGGAACTGGGGAGACAAAACTGAGAAAAATGTGACGGATATTAGAATAAAGATTTGTGCAGTCTATTGTATTGTAAGTTCCACAAGCATGTAACTGAACAAAAACTTTAATGTCATTATATGATAAATGTCATGCAATATTAGATTAACACAAGTAATTGGGTTCAAAAGTAATATAGTAAAAATAATTTGCAAACTTAAAGCAGTACAACAAAAATTTGCATCATAAAATTGATTCCCCATCAAAAGCCTTCAGTGAGAAGACTCCACGACTTTCAGTTTTTTCAATGTAATCTCAGTCAATTGCCGGTACAAGTAGGGCTGCTAATGGATTAGATAATAATTTGGATCCGATCCAAATAAAACCAAACATATATCTTAATGAGAAGATTCACCGAAAACCTCAGTTCAATATGATTAAGCAAATCTAATTAACAAAAGTTCAATCAGTAAAACTAGCTTGAGCAAATATGCAACTTGATTGAATGTGGATATGTTTGTTGAGTTTTAGTTGAGTTTTAAAAGGTTAAAAGATCCAAGTCTGATTTTAGTCAAATCCATAAAATGTAAATATGCAACTTGATTGAGTCGAGAATTTGCAATATGGGATCTGTTTGAATGTGGATATGTTTGTTGCAACTTGCATTCAAAAACATGCTGACCATGAACACCCAAAATGGATTTATAAACAGACACAAAAAAACTAAACACATTAATCCACACTATTATCTCTTAAGAAGAATTTGATACAATATGGAAAAATGTCCTGCGACTAACAGTTCACAAAATGACCAGATTTTCACGCTAGAAGTTTCTAAATTATGCTTAAATAGGTCAATCAAATTAACAAATAAGCCTTATTAATCAATGCATTTAAAATTAAAAGTATTTCTTTTAGTGATTGTAAAAAAGAAAGAAAGATGAAGAAACTGATAATAATATAGAATATCACACCCTTTTGCTGTTCCTATGGCAATTTTCATGCGAATATCCCATGTCAAAGGACTAACTGGCCCAACATCACCATGCAACCATTGCTCCAAATTGCCATTATCTACATACTCGTATACAAGCATCCTGAAAAACCAGTACAAGCATCTTAGGAAAATAAAAATAAGGAATCCTTGTTCACTTCCATCTAGAGAAAATGATAGCATCCCAAATTTCTCACATAGGAAATACCTCTGAGGACCATCTGCACAATATCCAACAAGTCCTACAAGATTTTTATGCCTTACTTTCCCAATGGCTTCAACTTCAACCTTGAACTCCTTCTCTGCCTGACCCCTACAAGTAAGATGATCACATATAGTTAATTCTCACCCATAAATTACTGCAGTAGATATAGAAGTAAAAAATAAGCAATACATGCAAGTTTAAAGCTGAAAAGAAAAAGGAAAAGAAAAAACTACAGTATAAGTTATTGTTCTACTTCTATATTACAATTCATGAAGAACAATTTCGTTCTTCCATGTTCTTTGTAATTTTTTTTTTGATGAATCATGTTCTTTGTAAAATTACATCCTGCGTTCTTTATTTCTGGAAAACCTTTAAGAACTGATACCACACTAAAAGCCCAAGTAAGGTATTATCTCAATCATGGAAACTAAGCAATATCCCCAAGTCTTCAACATCTAATGAGAACAAAACTCAAAAGCCTCCCCAAAATCTACCAGAGGAATTTTCTGTAAACTTTTAAAAATTTAGAAGAAACAAACCGTTTCAGATGCCTAGGAAGATTATTAATATGTTAAAAAAGCAATACCGATCAATCACCTTTGAAGGGGGAGCATATGGGTATCCATATAGACCAACTATGAGGTAACAAAAGAAAAAGGTTCTACCTTTAAATAATTAGTTACTGAGTTCAGAGTGTAGTAACTTGTCTGGTTACAGTCTTTCTTTAAGCATACAACCAGAAAAAGTAAAAGAAACAGCCCAGTCTTTAAGTCTTCTAATTTGCGCCAGTACGATTAATTTCCAGAATTACGCTGGCCTTTTTCTCGAGACCTTCGAAATGAGTCGGCACACACTCTGTCATTAACAACATGGTCAAGATCAAACATGTCCCGGCGGCCTCCGTCACAAACGGGAGCCAAACGACATAGAGACGATAATCTCGACTTATAATTTTTAGTACGACTTGAAGAAATTTTTTTACAAGGAAGTAATAAAAAACATATATGAAAGAAATGCAAATAATAAAAAAATGCACCGCTCCCAACAGAAGAAAAAAATATTAGATTTCTTTTTTTTTAATAATATTATTTTGTCATACTCACTTGTTATTGAAAAGGTTCTTCACTGCAACTATTGAACTGTCAGGCAAAACCCCTCTGAAAACGACTCCGTAACCGCCTTCTCCGATGACATTGTCGCTGGAGAACCCACCGGTGGCGATTTCCAGCTCTTTCAAAGCATACCACCGGCCCCACCCGATATTCGAATTCTCGGCCGAAACACCCGACGACGAACTCTGGCTCCCACCAGATGCGTTGCTCTCTGTGCTCCGACTTCTGGCATTAATCGCCTTGTTAGAGTCCACTTTGACAGATTGTTTCTCCTCTTTCCCCTCCCTATCTGTGTCGCCGATCTTGTCGTCCTCACTCGGATCCGAAACTTTAATATCTATGATCTCCTTAGAGACCATCGAAGTTAAACCTACTGTTTGCTTTGCACGCTTTCGTCGCTTCCTGGAGTTTCGACATCGACGGACGGAGAGAAGTATCACAAGAATGACGGCGATGACACACACGACGCAGATTCCGATAACGATGTACAGCTTTAGGCCGAAAATTGGCGTCTTCGCCATGAGCTTAGGAGATGGAGATGTATCTGAGCTATGGTGATCTTCGGCAGTGTGTTTTCCGGAAGCCACCATCATCTGCAGGGAGATGAGAACGGTAAGGACTGATCCCCACCAACGAGAAAAGACACCATGAATCTCCACCGCATTTCAAAGAAAAAGAGAGAGGAATCAAGTATCCGTTGGAAAGACGTTTGAGTGCATCAGCTAAAGAGAAGCCCTAAAAAGTCTATGGATGAATGCTCGGAAAGCGACGCGTTGGAATTCTGAGTTGAGAGAGAGGGAGGGAGAGGGAAAGAAGGAGACGCAGTGAGCGTCGCAGTGAAGACTCACTGAGGAGGGGGTTATGTGCTTCTTTGCCTACTGGGCAAATGAGAGAGAGTAGCAACGCAACGCCAGTGCGTTCTCAACGGGTAGTCGGGTACCAGGTAAAAGGCGGAAAGGGAGCCAAAAGAAGGGCCCATCAGTTTTATGGGCCTTGGCTCCAGCAAATATTTACGGTTTGTACCACCCCGACTGACGCCCAGTTAGAGAAAGGTGAACTGACCAAAATAACCCTAGAAACGATGTTTGACGGAGGTTAGTTGGTTGAGAATTAGGGAGCTGGGTCATAACAAATAAAATAAATGAATAGGGATATAAATGGAATTAAAAAGACAAGTAATGGTATAGCCTATAGGTGTTGACAGTTGACACTGATTGTTTGCTTAAAATAGGTGATTAACTGATTACATTAGTTAATGGGCTGGGCTGGGCTGGGTCATCTTTTGACAGCAACAGCACATTATTAATTGTCCATCCCCCTCAATGTGAACTGTATACACTATACACATTTGATTTGTCATTTTGTCCGGTTTCACTGCGCACTGCCATTCGAACGGATTCTGACTTTGTAGGATGGTGGGGAAGGCACTCGTGCACCGTAGGAAAATGTAACCGGACGGGCATAGGGGCACAGGGGGAAGCAGGGAGCCGGTATGGACAAGAGAGATTGTCTTATCATCACCTGACACCTGTGGGTCTTTTACTCGATGGATGGCTTGGATTTGCTTACTTTGACTTTTTTTTACCCTTATGTGTAGTCAGTATGGATGGTAATTCATTTAATGAGGGGGTCTCTCATGTGAGGAGGAGCGCATTTATAAATGTTGGAAATTTGGAATAGTATGAAATAGAAATCTCTATCTATATAAATATATTAACCTGATAGGTAAGAAGAACGAGGAGGGAAATGGAATCTAATACTATTTTTTTTTGTCTTTTTTTATAAAAATTACAAGAATATTATTTTCTATCAATTCTTTCTTTTGCATTTTTTTTTAATTATAAGAATGTTACTCTCTCCTATCGATTTTCTCTTTTTTTTTTTCAAATTACAAGAATGTCATTCTCTCTCTTACCGATTTCTCTCTTTCTCTTTTTTTTTATAAATTACAAGAATGCCACTCTCTCTCTCTCTCTCTAATTGAGGGAGATCTCAGCTCGGCATCTCAATTGTTAGGGGACCTACAATCAAAGGCAGTCAAACTCGAGCTATGTCGAGCTCGAACTTTTGAGCTCAAGCTCAAGTTTCTAATTTGAATTGAGCTCAAACTAGACGATACCTCGACCATTGAGAGAGACCTCAACTTGGCACCTTGGTCACTGAGGGAGACCTCAACTCGGTACCTTATCAACTAAGAGAGACCTTAACTTGACACCTCGTCTACTAGAAAAATCTCAGCTCGATACTTCAGCAAGTGAGAGAGACCTCGGTTTAACACCTCAGCAATTAAGGGAGACCTCGAACAAAACTTCGATTGCACTTGAGACCTGCAATCAAAGGTTCGAATTTCCAATTTTTTTATTTGAACCAAGCTCAAACTCAAATATCTAATTCGAATCGAACTCGAACCTAATAGTTTATGAGCGAGCCCATGCAATAGAAGACCCTCCACTAATTAATAATAAAATAAATGGAAACGAGATTCAAATGATATTTTAAAAACTAACGAAGATTATTAATTGCTGTCGCTATATGTCCCCATTCGGTAAGTAAACATTTACAGGTCACTTTGGTAGCTGTCACCAATAAATCAAACTGCAGGCCGCTTCCTTCTGAGTTCGGATCTCCTACCCACACATTCTTCTCTCGTCCATACCAACTAAACACAGCAGACGTAAATTGGGAATATCTCCTTCTCATTCCCAATTTGCGAAATACCCAATACAGGGAATTAGAGTTGCTAGCTTCCCGTGTGCGAGCTTCCAATACTGTTAGTTTTGGAACATGGGCTCAGTTTCAAGTGGCCTCTAGTATTGGGTCAGCTGGGGCCCGGACACAATCATCCTATCCTGGGGCCCGAGTTTTTTTTTGAAGGCAATGAAATTGGGTGAAACGGCACCCCACTTATAAAGAGACCGGATCTGCTCCTCACAGACCAGAAAGGTGAAACGTCAAATTTGTCTGAAAGAAGTGTATCAAAAGTAACAACTTTTTATTTGGCTCTAGATATGCCGTCAACCATCTGTAAACTGTGATGACGAAGTTTTCTCCTGTTGTTGATTTTGATTCCATCGTACGGAGGAGGGAGGTTAGATAGGATGGTCCCCACTTTGTGTTAGGTACAGAATAGAAACCCTTTGAGCTTTGACCGTCTTAATTACGCATTAAATACAATTAAATTAAAATAATTAATACACATCACTAAGATCTAAGATCCTACTAGCTAGTTTCTGGTTCCTAGCCTTAATTACTTGCTTATCTCATCGGTGGATGGTACAATAGTGGACTAACTCTTGACTATCAAGCAGATGAATCTGGTCCAATCGCGACAAATTAGAGGATGGTCGACTTGGTTCAATCCGGTCCTACCAAAAGCAAATCATATCAAACCGAACCGGGTTTCTTAGGCCATTTATCTGCTTGGTATAGTAATCTAACTTCATTTTCAGCCATTAAGGAACCCCCCCAACTTCCAAAACAATAAAATTTTCCGTTCAGCCATTTCATCCGTTTGCCAAACGGCCCCACAGTGGCAGAGGTCCATTAACCCATTTAAAATTAAGTTGGTAGGGTATTCTAGAGATGAGACTCGGTGGGCGGTTTGGTCATAACACATGCAGATAGCAGCCAGAGGCCATCTCTAGGTGTCTTCTAGTGAAGGGAACTAGCATGAGTTCCAGCGTGCCCCTGAAGGTGCTTTCATTTCCATTGTTCCAGCCTGCCGGATCTGCGGCGTGGGCCATTGATTTGGGTTCGGACTTGCTACCCACGACCACGAGACATGGTGGTGGCGCTTTCTGAGTACGTATGTGGGAACAACTTGTGGGTAGATCCGAGTGCACTGATTTAACATTACATCCATGGGTTTTACACTTTGCATAAACCGACGCCTCTGCTGTGGGGAGAAAATGCATGAAAAACAAAGTTAACTAATTACTTTCAATATGTTCACGTCACTAATTATCAACCAAAGACGAAATTAAACTATGGGCCAACTTAGCCCACGATGGATGGGGCCCTATTTTATTTGAATGGCCAGACCAGCTAGCTTCCAATCTGAGAAGCATCACTGTTGAATAAACCTCTCATAGAGGATCAGTTAAAACTTTTTTTTTTTGGGTAAGAATAAGAAGGATTAGTTATTACATGGGCCAGACAGTATTCTACACCATTTCTAATTGGCGTTAATCAGGGCCCAAGTAATTATAAACTCAGATGCTGCCAATCAAGAAATGTAAGAGACAGATGGATCCAGTTGGCCCAGGGTGGGACTTGGGTGAGTCTGGTTCACATATATGGGCTTCGTAGTCGAAATAGAAGGAACCAGGGGAACCCAAAAAAAAAAGGAAATAAGAGGAGAACTAACGTGATGGACTTGGGTGAAGTACCCTTTCTCCCAGATTTCACTCCGTCATCCCTTCAATTTTTATTGAAACATATTTTGATTTTGAAACGCTTTCCTAGAGTTGTAGTATTTAAGCTGCACATGAATGAGAAGTGACCTGTCAGGCTGTCATGTTCGTCATTTTGGGCGTTGGAGTGTGCACTTGCAAACGTGATGATGGGTTTGTGTAATTTGAATGAAAGAAGTTTAGATTTATTCCGTAGGGCAGCAGCTTGGAGCCTTGAACACATAGAGTACTGAATTAATGATCTATCTAGAAATTCCGTGAATAACATGTTTACTGTTTGGTGGAATTACAGGAAGAGCGCCATGCAGTCACTATCTGTCAGTGGGGTGGTTGTGACTTGTGACTTGTGACTTTGTGGGCTTTGGCCTTTCGTCTGGTGGGTCAGGACTCAGGCGCCGGTGGAAATTGAAATTTGGCATGTAGAGGTGGTTGTGACTTGTGACCTTGTAGCCTTTGTCTGGTGGATCAGGACACTCAGGACTCAGACGCCGGTGCCGGCGCCGGTGCCGGTGGAAATTGAAATTTGGAATGTAGGGGCGGTTGTGCATGGAAATGCTCTCGCCTTACCTTGGTTATCCGATTCAATGGACCTCAATCGATTGGACTGGTTTTGATTTATAATCCAACAAGAAATATTAAGGAATCGGAATTATATGTATAGAGTCTAAAATTAGGTTAGTTTGGTTCCGGTTCTTTAATATTTCTTATTGTGTTGATTCTGATTCTATCCATACCCAATCCATTGATAGTCCTTAGTGTTTTGGGTTTTCACCTTTGAAAGAACGAATTAATTATTTGAAAAAAAAAATACGGTAAATAGCACTCTCCCCTGTTCTCTGAAGATGAGGCTGAGGAGAGGAGTGAGGTCTGTGGTGAATTGGTGATTAGGGGCTCTCAATCCTGGATCAGAGGTACTACAGTCGTAGGAAGGTCTATTCCTGGATCCCAGGACCGATCTCGATCCTTAACATCACACTTGCCTTTGGGGTGGTACCGTGGTAGGACGATTAACACCCCACCAAACGTCAAAAAATGTGTTTACAACTTTACATCTCCTGCCCACATATCATTATAGTCTCACATTAAAAAATATCTCACATATTTATTTACATGCTATTATTTATGAGGAGATAGATATTCATAGGATTTTTTTGATAAACAAAGAATTTCTTAAACCACAGAAGAAACAGAACAGACCTACAACAGAACCAACTAAGAAAGAGAAAACAACAGAAAACTAACTACAGCCGACACAATCCAACATTAAAACATCAACAAGACAAAAAGGAACTGAATCACATGACTGAAAACTAAAATTAAGCCCAAATTTTGCAGCAGCATGAGCAGCACTGTTTGCTTTCCTTAAACAGAATTGAAACTTGAAGTGTCTTCTAGCAGCAACTTCTATGATATCTTGGCAAAGGAGCAGAATTTCGGGCAGAACATCTTCGTTTAAATTGTTAACAGATTGCATTAAGCCAGTACAATCAGATTTAAAAAGAACTTCAAAAAGTTCTATTTGATCAGCC